TTCACTCCTGTGAAGACAGAGGGATATGAAGATCAGGTATTAATTATAGAATGTTGTTGTTGTTATGTGCCATCGAGTCGCACCCAACTCATAGCGACCCCTCCTGGGGTTTCCGAGGCAGTATCACTATGGAAGTAGGTTGCCCAACCTTCCGAGGAGTGGCTGGTGCGTTTGAACCGCCAGCCTCCTGGTTAGCAGTCAAGTGCCTTAGGTACTGTGCTACCAGCGCTCCCAATTATAGAATAGACCTGGGCAATAGCAGATTTTTAGATCCAAGAAACAAACTTTCCTTTAAATTTGATCACTTACAGAAAGAAGCAAATGATCCCCAACCAGAGGAAGTAGATGGAGGCCTGAAGTCTTGGAGAGAATCCTGTGATAGTGCTTTAAGGGCTTATGTGAAAGATCATTATTCCAAAGGCTTCTGAACTGTTTATGCTAAAACTATAGATGGGCAACAGACTATTATTATTGAATGCATCTATTGAATGCCACCGTTTCAACCTAAAACTTCAACATAAAAACTTCTAGAATGATCAGAGTAGAAGTTCACCATCACACCACCAACAAACAGCCCAAGTGGTTGGAGTGCTTAAGATTCAGATTCACTATTACGAAGATGGCAATGTTCAGTTAGTCATAAAGATGTACAGGATTCAGTAACTGTTTCAAATGATGTCTAGACTGCCAAGGAGTTTATTAAAATCATAGTGCATGCCGAAAATGAGTATCAGATAGCAATTAGTGAAAACTATCAAACAATGTCAGATACCACATTCAAGGCCTTGCGCCAACAGCTTCCAGTTCAAATCAACTGAGACAAGATATACAGCTATAAGAGTGGCAAAGAAATGCAGAATGCTTAAAGGCTGAATGTAGGATTCTTCAGTACATGGGGGGAAGAAAGGATTCAACATGTGGTCATATGATAAATAGATGGTTTATAAACAAGAGTGATATTTTCCTAGGGCTTTCAAAGTAAACAGGTTTTCTAGCCTCATGGAATACAGTTGAACCTATAACATTGAATTCTTTTATGTTCTCTACTTTGTAATATTCTGCTGTTACTATAT